AGCCCTAAGAATCGAAATCTTGAAAAACCTTCTTTTGCAAGATATTTTTATTCTTTTTGTGAGGAACTCAAACGTCATTTGATAAAAAAATTGGATCATTCGACGATTTCTCAGCATTGTGCAATTTAAATTCCAATATCGTTTTATTTGCAAAAGAGAAATTTGAATTTCAAATTCTCTTGTCAACACATGTTTTAACTTCAGACAGAAACCAAAGCTTCGAAACAACACTCAAATAGTGAAGCACTGATCATGTTTACAGTGACTATGCAAATCAAATACAATTTAGAGGAAATACGTTTTCGACTAAAATATTTCGTCTAGTGATTAGGCCTGCTTTAGGGAAAAAAACAACTGAGTTATTTATATACAACCAAGGATTTTCAGAATATATTTGTTTAGCTAGCTTTTAAATTACATGATTAATCACAGAAAAACTTGGTGTAAGTTAAAATGATAGGAATGACGTATGATTTTAAGAGGCAGCTTGAATCCAGGATATTGTTTTAAAGACGAGTAAGGTAAATGTTACAGTTTATTTCACATTCGCATAGTAATAAATTATAATTGCAAGAAAATGAAAAAGGAATGAAAAGAGGATAGAATCAGTATCAAAGAATTTTAAACTAAAAACTATAGATAAAAATATGAAATTTGTTCAGTTTATTTTGCAAATTAAAGATTTTATTTCATGCAGATGGCGCATTTCCATACGATGACAAAAATAACACAAGTATTCAACACAAAAAAAAAAAAAAAAAAAAAAAAAAAAAAAAAAAAAACAATTCGTTTTCACGTTTAAGCAAATCCTTTCTTCTGAAAACTTTATTAAGCTTCTGAAAGTATATTAAAAAGCTGCAAATGAAAGAGAGAAAGCTACAGTAAGTTATGTTGTTAACTGACGTAATGCAAACGACAACACGATTGAATTTTTTAAGCATTTATTAATCGACATATTTTTGCTATAAATACCAATACTACCAAAACTGGCATTCATGTCGAATTCGGTTGTCGAAGAATGAATAATCTGGCTGTATGATTTATGTATGGACTTTCCGAATGTGTGATGGAGATACTAGGAAGTTTGCCTTAGAAGTTTTTTACGAAAGCAAACTTGCAAAGATAGAAGAACGTCCACAGATAGAAGAACGTCGTAATAAATAATTTAATCTAATATGAACAATATTCTTTCAGTAAGAGGATATTTTACACAAGGTATATTTTATAGGAAAAATCTACCAGTACTTTTATTCACTGTAAAAATAGATAGGCAAATAAATAATTACGACAACACGCAAAGCATGGAAAATATCTTTAACTTGGGAAAACAACTTGCTGGAAATCTCTCAGATAAACTTGCTAAATTTGACTTCCATTACAGAGAAACTACAAAAACATATACATTCCTAACATACTGTGGTGGAATCAAACACGATAGAAATCCATCATAGTTTTAACGTTTTATCCGTTCGGCCTTTAGTGGGTCTTTTCAATTGTAAAGTTCAGATTGTGAAATAATAATAAGGTTCGTTATAATTTACGATGAAATGTGGAGAAGATTAGAAAGCCAAATCCTCTCCACTGTCAGGTATGATGTTACAGAAATGAAGCTGCTCTCGGGTAAGGGTAATTAATTAATTTAAGGACTAACATCTTATTAAACAGTCCGGTTAATCAAATTGTACCATCGTTGGATTATCGCAGAATTGGATCGATCAATTACTCTGTCAGTTCTATGCCAACTATTAGAGTTTGGGAACATTTAGTATTTTAAGAGCAAGCAAGAGTAATCTGATTTTAGCGCAAAATATCCAAAATCAAATAATTCGAAGGTATGTTTTCCAGTAGGTTGGGAAAATACTTATTTATATTAACTATTTTAAACTTAGATTTATACTTTTATATGTTAGTATTAAAATTAAATTAAAACATCCATTTGATTTGGCCTGAAAACAAGTATATCAGAAAAAAATAGTACATACGTTTATAGATGAGAAATTCTATTAAGTGACTTCGAAAGTAAATCTGTTGTAACTAAATAATTAAAAAAAATAAGCTGCGCTTTAATTTTACTTGAAAATTAATATTAAGGAAAATCCGGAGGATTTATTATATATCAAAGTTTTGATGTGTTTTAATGCAAAAATTTGCAGCATCGGCGAATGCTCATTCGACATTTGTTGATGCAAGTTTTGTTGCTAATAAAGCATAATACAAATCGCTCAAGTTTCCAGCTTTGATTTACAAACAACGTAACTTACTGCTTTAATTTAATGAATGATTTCTTTTTCGTTTCCCTGATTTTCTTTAATTCTCCTTTCACCATCTCTTGGTGTACATTTTACGCGACATTCCAATTACAATTGGCTTAATTCTCATTAATCAAAAGTTTCATTTAAATGAATGTGAATCATCATGTTTGCTGCAAAATCGATAATCCATTTTACTGGAAGCCCATTCGCTTTGGAAACACAATTCAAAATATATTCAGGACTTTAAATACAAGTCACCATTCACTTCAGCTTTTATTTCATTTAATAATTCTCAATGTAAACTACCTCAACTTTATTTAATGTTTTTAACATAAATATAACTGACAAATGGATGACATGGTGATAAATGGATCAAAGCAGGGGAAAATGCATCTCCTCTCTTTAGTTAGGTTATAAACGCAAATAATCAGCTAATTATAGTTTCCGTCAAATTTGAATACTAATATATTACACAATGTATATACTATGGAAAAGAATCGGGAATTTAAGATAAGAAATCCCGACTTTTGTGCGATTTTTTGATCAGAGTTTGATCTGATGCTATCAGGAGGGGCTTACAATACGCGTAGCAAATTGAGAAACAATTACTACTTGATATCTGGATTCTTACTGATAGTCGTGCTTAAGTTCATTACTTATCTGATTGGACAGCGATAAAAGGCAAGACAAGCCTAGATAACTTCTTGTCCGTTTCCTTTTGGACACTCTATCTATTTTCAGTGGATCCTATCTTATGTTGCGATCGACCGAAGACTCAGATGTTTGCACACTTTTGTCAGGCACCTAGGCTGGTAGCCGCATCCTGTATGTAACATGTACGGAGGCAACATAGCGTCGCTGGCATAACATGGCAATCGACCGAAATGAAAGGGTCGACTATCTATCCAGGACTGCTGAGGTGGAGGGGGAGGGCCCTTGTGGAACTCTCACACATAGCGAAATATCTTCTATTAGGAAGATGGAATTAAACCAACTTGGAAGGATTCCTCTTAATCACCTGTGGTATTTTGGAAGAAGCCGGAGCGGGTCCCTTTAGCTATGAGATTTAGCTACAAAATATCAGACTGCCTTCTCGCGCTTCATTAGTGGCCACATTAGAGCAGTCACATTTCAGCAAGGACAGAAGATCTTCTCTGAGTGCCACTGGTGTGAGGCTCAGCTTTTCAACCCCGTCCATATTTTAGCTTGCTTGAATTTTAACAAAGACGAGGTCCTTCAGAATTCTATATTATTTTTAAAATTTTTAGATATCTTTGGATTTATGAAGATTGTCTAGCTTTGCTGGACAATCTAGGATTAGTAACAACAACATAAGCGATAACAAACTGATATTATGCAACGCATTACGTTATGAACCATAGAACAGAATGATTTCTTAACACACACGTGGTACATACAACATATTATTGCGTTTTTCTTTTCTTCTGCGGACACCAGTTGTTACGCTATTTTCTTCCTTCACGTTCGTACGGGGTTCGTAGATTTGGAGTGAATAGCGACAACACTTGATGAAGTATTGAAACACACATTATTGGTCAGTATTGTCAGGACAGCTCCAAAACACGTTTTTACAGTCGTCTATGAACTACTATAAACACGCTGACACGATCAACGACACAGCTTTCAGGTTATCAGGCTATCACGGTGGAGACAGCTTCCTGCAAAGCAGCCGTCTCTGCTTTCCGGAGTACAGCTCCCGACTCTGCTTGGTCGTTCTCGAAACTCCACGTACTCTCGAGACTGTCCACGCTACAACTCGCGATGCACTCGATGACACACGAGCACAGCTCCCGACTCTTCGGTTGAGTCGCTCCCGGAGCTCAACATGCTCTCTCGACGATGCACTAACCGCGATAGTTTAACGGACTCCTTCGGTGCAGTCGACGATGCACTAACCGCGATACTTTAACAGACTCCTTCGGTGCACTCGACGACCCACTTGGCACTCGCTGGCCGGCTGTCAACTCGATCGACTCCGAAGGGATTGACTCGATACTGACTAACTCGCACTCTAGACGAGGCACACACACACTCGTATCTAACTCGCCGCGTACCAGCAGGGTTTATTTAGCTTTTGACTGGTCTTCGAGAACATTCTGGGCTAAACCTGCAAGAATTCGTTCCAGAAGGTTTTCCACCGTCCATAGTATATTGCCAATTTTGTCGCCAAACGGGCGATTTCTCGCCAAATGTGGCAATTCTGCCTTCCCTTGCCATTTTATGGCAACCCTAAAACTGCTTTGCGGGGAAGCTATCTCACCGCGCCTTTACATTTCGTAACAATATGAACATTTGCTCATTAAAACCCTCTAATCTGTTTGGGTGAAATAGCTCATAGAATAATTTACGACTTTGTTTCCTTTTCTTTTCGAGATTATAATTCTTATTTTTATCATCTCTTTTTGAATGTCTTCTCTCGCAAACTCTGATTATTCAAATACGTTCTGACTTAAATAATAGTAAATCATCCACCTAGCTAATCACCTCGTGTTTCATTAAGAGTAACTTGATCCAAGGTGAAGTTAACTTCTTCAAAATGATCACACATTAATTTGTAAAAAAAAAAAAAAAAAAAAAAAAAAAAAACATTAAAAACATATAGTAACAAAGCGACCAGCACCCTCATTTCATAAAATATTCTCCATTAAGCATTTGCATAGTGACATCAAGAACTGGATACATTTGGATTCTTAACGATAATAATATATGCAAAGGGGGGAAACTTACTTTTCGTTAGAAATAATTTAATTTTCCTCCTTCTAATTCGCAATGCACCGTACTTTTTGTTTCATTAACCGGAGAATGAAATGAATAGCAATTTTAATTTCACTTGCTCTTTTTGAAAACTACATCGGTGCTTTTGTCAAGACGAAAATGTTAGCACAATGTGTTAGAAGGGTAAAAATAGAGTTTCGGGAGATATAAATATATATGTATAATGCTTTTTTGCTTCATGGCAGTGCTCCAAGCCTTTTAGTTACTAGCGTCAACGACTATTTATTTAGACAGTAAATTAATATCTTGGAGCATTCTCAATACTCTTTTGTATTTTGACCTTTTAAAAGTTCACTAAGAAGAAATGTGTGACTCGTCAGCTAACTCAGGTGTAGTGGAAACTACTGAATGCCTTATTCCTGAGTATCAGTGGACTCACATATGTCCAATAAAGGATTCAGTGGACTCCCATTACGTCACTTTCTGTTAGATTGGAGAGCTTCTGGGTTGCTATAACCACTAGAGTTAGCGTGGGTTCTGATTATTAGGTGCCACCGATTTCTTTTCACGAGTTATAGTGATGTTGTAAGGATTATGCTAATTTTATTAGCAGCTAAAGTTTGAGTTAAACTTCTTTCCTGTCTTATTCTTAACTTCAACTCTACTTCCGGACAGAACGTAGTTTTAAAATCACTTCTGAATACATAATAAGGAGGAGCGGTATTTAAACCGCGAAGTTCTTCGGTCTAAGCGAGAGAGTTACCAGGTATTCTGTCTGCACGCGTCCGCCTTTTTTAGGCTAATATCTCGTTACGCTCGGCTACTTAGGCTCTTGATAGCTTCGTAGTCAATTAGCGTTAAGAGTCCAACTCGGTTAGAATCTTGATAGCTTCGGCTATATCTCTTTTTAGTTTAGATTAGTTTTAGTTTACTTCTTAGCCTCTTAAGTTGAAGCCCATGTGTCGGCTTTTATTGTACACTCCAAGAGAGTTCTGTTAAATATTTGAGTAATAAAGGGTTATTTACCCTTCCATCTTGTTGTTTCTTGCCACACGAACTCAAGCGATTATTTTCTTATCAGTTCTTAAGATTCTTCACGTTCAACAGCAACAGCCTTTACAAAGTGGAAAACTCTGCAATGTAATTGATATTCATGCCGACAAGAATTCCATTACATTTAACTAAAACGTTTGAAGAATCTCTACTTGATTATTAACATAAAAATATAGATAACAGCCCACTTGACTATGTTAAAATTTTCACTTCAGTTTCACTCTCAAAGGAACCACAATTCTAATTTTAACATAACTTTTAATTGTCATTTACCTTCTTGGCGAGACTTCTCTGAGATCATCTACATCGGCCAGGCTTCAACATCAATAATCGTTAGCTGCTAATTTCTCGCGGCTCCATAATCCAGTTTGCTTTGCTACACCTAGAACCAGATTCGAACATCATAAAACTCTCCCGTTCCATTTAACGTACTTATTTCCCTACGCTCCTCTCGAAATAACCATCTGGAGGGAACGAGCTACGTGACTATGCCAGAAGTGACCGAAAAGACGCAAATTTTTTAAACTAACTTGTTAGTTAAAAATAATTTAAATGTTTACTACGTTATGTCCAATAAAATGATTCTCCAGTAAAGGATAAATATATTGGCGCAGTAGCTGGTGTATGCAGCAAACGTTTTTCTTTCTATAAAATAGTCTGTGTTAATATTACTAAGTTCGATGGGGAATCCGAAGCAATTCATATGAATTTGCGACAGCTCTTCTGTCATAGAATGTCTTTATCTGGAGTTGTTATTCTCTCAGAATTTGGGTTTATCCTTCAGATTATTTTGAAAACAGAACCTGCAACTCAAAAACGCATTTATGAGGCCGAAATCTTCTGAATACTTTTAAAGACTTAATAGCATTACAATGGATGATGAATCATTGTGGAGTACAAGAAAATGAGAGTTCAGGTTGTTTTGTTAACAGAAGAAACGCCTGACTTCCCCAAACCCAGATATTTGATTGATAAATTGATAACATGACTGGAATTTAGCAAGGTTCATGACTCAATTTTGGATTGGAAATGTCTCCTGGACAAGGGATACCGATCTTTATCATGGTATCTTTTCACTAGACACCTTTGATGATCACCCCTTTTGCATTGTATTCAGGAATTCATCAGTGGATTCTCTTTGTGTCGCCGGATAACTAATGGACTAAGAACATTTAAACATTTAATGATTTTAATTATATCATTCAGATGTATTGGGAATTAAGATGGCTAATGGGTTAAATGCCAAAACCCAGGTATTTGTAAATAAAAAATGGCATCAAATCGTTTTTTTAAAGATGTCTATGCGATCCAGCGTGTACGTAAAACTGTAAAAGTAAAATATCAAAACGATCTTCTTAAGAAGAAAAGAAGCGTTTGCATCATAACTGCGACTCACTTCTCAGCATTTAAGAAAAAAGCAAGCGGGCTACGGCCAATGCAATAGTTATAAGTTCTATGTACTCAAAAACGGAAAATAACATGAACTATTAATTTAATATACTGTATACAACGCTGCTAGCTGAGACCAAAGCAAAATTTATGAGTTCTGTGTACATATATATCTTTTATGTTTGAAAAGAAAGTGCATAAAAATATTTCAATAGGAATAAAGTCAATTCATTCTTTACAAGCAACAACCAACTGGTAAATAGTTTTTTGTTGCCAAACCAGGAAACAAAAACTTTGGGCACTTCAGTTAATGCGTATACTTATAACGCCATGTTTTAAATGTAATGTAATATAACAACTTTTCCTCAATATCAATAAAAGAATTAACGAGGCAAAAATATATTGTGTCAATTATTTTAACTTCAAACAAAAAAAAAAAAAGTTTCCAACGACAGTTATTTACTTAAAATGCTGACATTAACGAAACATTTTGGACATACAAGGACGTCTTATGTAATCGCGTGTTATCTTCAGTGTCATAACATGACCTTATATAATAATAATATGTTTAATGTTTGTCAATGCTATTTTTATTTCATTTTGTAAATTTACAAATGTTTTATTAAATTTACAAATTTTTGATTAACAAATTCTATGATTTGAAAGCTAGCAGTGGCAACACTTTTCGAAACAAAGCAGATTTTTATTTTCAGCGCGCAAGACTGTTGCCACTCGGAAAAATGAGGGGCAAAAATTAGCGTTTTCTGAGTTTATAATTAATATCTTGGCTGATTAAAGTCGTATGAAGATAAGAATGGACGAAATGGCTTCCCACAAATTTTTAGAATCCGGGGGTGCCTCTTCCGAAATCGAGCTCCCCACCGTTCTGGAGAAGATAATGCCACAAACAAACACACAGATAGACAGATAGATGGGCACAGATTTTAGCAGTATAAAAAGCATTATAAATTCTAAATGTGGCATTTTTACAAATAATTATTGAAAAACGATATTGTTCAATATTAATTCCTGCAGTAGCTTCACAAATAATAGAAAGTGTTGAACTTTAAGGTAAAAATGGTAATGTACAAGGTAAAATAATTTTTTTAGTCCAAAGGGGATTTGTCCCTGAAGGACTATTGTTTTCGTTTTGCGATTTTGCGTCGAATCACTATAAACGGCGTATCACTTTTAAAATTGTTGCCATCAAATGTTAGAGTCCTGCATTATATTTGAATAAATTAAATAATGAAGATTCTGCATAAATGTATGTATATTTTTCGCTTTGTGATAAAACAACGGTACATAGAGCCAACCAATTTTAAATGACGTAATCCTACTGCGAATATGGGCATCTGAAAGCCCAAATTTGAAATTTGGAATTTGTTTAAATAATATCTTTTAAAATACTTTTATAAATTGCAGAGGTAGGACTCAATTCATTTTCAATCAAAGAATTACCTTGGAACCAGTTATCGATAATCAGAAAATAAAAAACGGATTATAATAATAATAATAATAAATAAAATAAATGGAATAAAGTGTATTTAATCATCTTCTCATTGATAACATTTCAAAGTGTCTATACGCAATATACGCAAGTGCTTAAAAATAACTAGCATGCAAACTTATCTGAGATCTTCAGATAATAGATAAGTTTTAAACGAGTTGAGTGTTTCGACGTCCCCACCCACTCCCGCTCAACCCTTCATCAAACTTTCGATTGCAAAAACAAAAAACGAAACAACCAAAAAAAAACAAAAAGATAACTTGCGCGTACACTATGTAAGACAACAAAACACTTTACGTTGCCAAGTTCTTAGCTTTATCATAATTCCATTGTCTTCGAGAAATGGAACACTTATATGGTAGTTCCGTAGCGGGTACCATACTTCAGACTTAAAGTACATGTTCTTTAAACAGACAAAAGCTTGAACAGCTGTTATTGTCCCAATGGGAGAAATAGATGTTGAAACGAGATACAAATCGTTAGATACTGAAACTTGACCTAATATCTTACTATTATCTCTGCTCGGATTATTCCATAGCTCTGAATGGGCAAAGTACATGTGACGGGTAGCAGCTGTTGAAATGAATGGATTGAAATTATTTACTCCGTTTCCAATAAAGTTTATGGTAGCAAATTGCAATGAAAATTCTCAAGAAAACTACCTCTGCAAATGTTCAGCTTTTTTGTAACGATACTGATCATTATGAGCAGTCATACCTCCACAGATGAGTAAACCTCTCTGAAACCGCATAGTCCTCTTATTGAAATTTCATCATTCCAGGTATATCGGCAGAATAGAAATAAAAGTGACATCTTTTGGTGGAACGCCAAATAGCTGGATTTACAGTCCATCAAAGAATTTGAAAATCCGACAATACTTTTTTTCCTGTAACTTTCTTACATAAAAATTTTTAAATATCCTTTTTCAATATTATATATATACAATACTAACGAAAGTAACTGGATGCCAGTTAAGTTAGATAGAGAATAATCTATCTAACAACAGGGATAACGATACCGCTGTAATCCTTCTCTAATAACGATCCAATGACTTCTCTAATAACAATCCAAAAAAGGCTATCTTATATCGAACATTAAAAAAAAAAATACTATTCACATTTTAAACAATAATTAAACAGCCTCAAAATCTTTAAAA